CAGCTGCCACACTGGACTGGCCTCCTTCCCTGTGGCTCCACAGAGCCTGCAGGTGGGCACCCTGAGGACTGTGAGGTGGAAGGTGTGGCGGGTGGCTCCCAGTGAGGCGGCACCTGGAGAGGCAGGGGCCGCCAGCGCTGCCTGCCAAGCCCTCAAGCCCTCACAGTCTCCTGAGTATGGCTCCTTAGAGGACTCCCTTGGGGCAGGTCTTACCTCTCATGCCCAAAGTACCTGAGCACTGAGCAGAGCCGGCCCATCTCCCTTAATGTGGCCACTTGGCCCAGCTGGGGCCCAGATCCCCCACTCCCCACCCCTCAGGAAGCCCCCCTCCTGCTTGGTGGCACAGACAAGACTAGGCTGGCATGTCAGTGCACCACCAGGGGCACAGGTGCCTTGACCTCAAGGTCTTGAGCTGAGTGTGGCTGAGCTCTGGGGAGCGGGGGCTCCTGCCCTGCTCCATGGCCTTCAGAGGGGCAGGGAGAGAAGAAGGGCCTGTGGGCAGCGGTGTGCCTGTGAGAACCCGTGGCATGCGCGGGGCAAAGCTTGTGGGCAGGGCCCCAGGGGCTCATTTTCCCTGGAGGCTCTGAGAAAGCTTTAGAAGGGTCTTGGGGTGGTCTCCGCAGAGGCAGCTCTCTGCCTGGTGTGTGCTGTGGGGTCTGGAGCTGGCAGCACCTGGGTGAGGGCTAGTGGGCGCCCCACAGGCTCCCGACAGCTTGCTGTGGTACTCCCAGCCCCAACTAGGCAGGCACTACAGTTCTCACCCAGCCAGCCTGGGTTGTCACAGTGATGTCACCATGTGCCAGTGTGTGCTACTGATCCTGTCATGAGGCTGCCAAGTCCTCAGTCACTTATAGCCACTGAGGGCTGCAGCAAGACCACAGGACATCTCTGTGGCGCCCTGGCCTGGCTGTGCCGAGACCCCACCAGTTGGCCCCTCCAGATGGTGCTTCCTGGGTTTTCCCTGGGCTGCTCTGAGGGAGATGGGGCAGAGTGGGTTTGCCCCTGGGCCAGCCTGGCGTCCCTGGAGTGAGCAGCTCCATCCGACTTGAAGGTAAACATGGGGACATCTGTGTCCTTGCTCCTTTCAGCCCTCACCCTCCGTTCAGCTTGGGCCCCTTGTGCTGCAGGAGGATGTTCCTGCTAAGTCACAGAGCCTGAGGTGCCCGCGCTCTGCCGGCCCTGCTGGGGCATCTCAGAGTTGGTCCCTCTGCATGACCCCATCTGCACTGCATGTGTGTAGGCAGAGTGGCAGGTACCTAGGGTGCAGGCCTGTGGGACCAGAGAGTCGAGAGAGCCAAGCTTCAGCAGGTGCTGGGGGCAGACAGCGCTCCTGTGGGCCTGGCCACATGGATGGTGCTTGAAAGGACACAGTGGGCCTCCGTGTGGGAGCTGGTGCATCTGCCCAGAGCTGACCTTTGGGAACTGAGGGTCGCCAGCTTGCGTGGTCTGAATCTGCAGAGGCCCTGAGCTAACAGTCAGGGAGCTCCGTGTCCCTCCAGTGGCCACGTCGGGTTTCCCCACCTCGGTGATTGAAAACAACAGATGTTACCTGACAGCTCTGAGGTCAGAGTCCAAAATGGACTAAAATCAAGGCAGGCAGGACTGGTCCCTTTGGAGGCTACAGGGAAGGGTAGCAGCTTTGGCTTCCTGAGCCCCTCCTGCACCCTCAGAGCCGCAGCGAAGGCCTTCTGGTCTGTCTGGCCTCTGCTCCTGTTGCCGCAGGCCCTCCTCCGGCTCAGCCTTCCTTCCTCCCTCTCATCTTCGGGTTGCTTTGTCCGACCTGGGTAACCCAGGATGCTCTGTCAACTGAGACCCTTCACTCCGTCCCAACTGCAAAGTCTCTCTAAGGTTCTGGGGACGAGGCTCTTTGGTTTTCTTTCTTTGGTGCTGGGGATTGAACCCGGGGGTGCTCTACTACTGAGCCACCTCCCCAGCCCTTTTAATTTTTTTAACCTCAGACTTGCGGTCTTCCTACCCAGCCCCAGAGTCTGTGGGACTGCAGGTCTGTGCTACGTGCAGCACACACTGCACGAAGGCCCTGTGCCTGTGGCTGCCCAGGTACGGCCAGAGCCGCGGCAGGCTCAGCAATCTGGGGGTGGCTCTGCTCTGCCACAATGTCGGCCCACCTTGGAAGTTCAGGGTAGGGGGACACGCAGGGGCCCATGGAGTGGAGAGCCCTGCCTGGCTGATCCAATGCCCACCTTCCTGTAAGGGGGATTATCTCCATTCACAGAGGCCTGGTTCTCAGAGCTGGGGGACCCCAGAAAATCATCTGGCCACATGCCATCCTGTGGGGAGACCCCAAACCCTCTAGCCCTGGACTGACTTTCTGGGTCTAGATGCTGACTGTGGGACCAGAAGCCATGTGCTATTTCAGGGTGCCCTGTGTGCGCCCTGTCATGGACTCCCTCTCCTGGCATGGCAGTTCCGAATCCCCACACAGATGTTTCATGACCAGGAAGGGCTTGGGGCTGGGTCCATGAGCCAGGCAGGCCTGGGTCTGTGTACTTGAGGAGGGAGCTGGGGCTAGGAGAGAGGAGTGCCGGGTGGGGGACTGGGAGCTGACTGTTCCTGTCTGCACTGCAGGAGGCTGCGGCTAGCCATCACGTGCAGGTGGGTGTGAGCAGGGAGGCACTGGCTGTGCAGGGTCAGTCCAGCCCAGGAGTGGGGAGCCAGCCAACGGCCCTGCTGACCTTACCTTTGCAGCCAGCAGGGCCCAGTCCTGGGCCCGCCCCGGGGCTCCAGGGAACCCGGTGGCTGAGTGCAGGCTGACTGCCTCCCTCACTGTCCCAATAGCTGGGCGAGAACACAGCCTCCAGGGCTGGCCAGCTCTTAATAAGCACCTACTGTTTGCCTGACCATGCGCTGCTGTGTGATTCACCATCACCTTTTAGGGATCTGGGCTGGGGGAGCCCTGAGCCCTCTGGGTGGGGGTGGGTGCTGTTTCCCACCCCCACAACTGACTCTCCCATCGTGGGGGTCAGGGTCCTGAACCCACTATGCCCTGGGTCCCTCTGTCTCTTTGGGGTCCTGCTGGGGGCCGCTTTGTTTTTAAGCTTCCTGAGAATCCTTCTGGCCTCCCTCTGACTTCCTGTAGGCAGCCTCAGGGCCTAGGAGGGACCCTGGAGTCTGTCCAGAGCAACTGTGGCCTGTGCGTGGAGCAGATGGTCCTGGAGGCCCAGGCAGAGACGCAGGCCTGCTGGGGTTCTTCTGCGTTGTCTGGTGGCAGCAGACACAGGACTGAAGTCCACACCTATTGTTCAGGCAAGGTGACCCTTCGTCTGCCAGCCTCACTAACCCAGACCAGTGTCCCCGATCAGAAAGCTGCCCCTCAGCTGTGCCCAGGGCATTGTGGCACTTCAAAGCCTCCACCATGTCCAGAGGCCCAGGACCTCCAGGAGAGAGCTCCTGAATTATTATTTTTTTTCCTTTTTGGTTCTGGGACTGAACCCAGGTGTGCTCTACCACTGACCCACATCCTCAGCCCTTTTTTATTTTTATTTTGAGACAGGGTCTCTCTAAGTTGCTGAGGCTGGCCTCAAACTTGGAATTTTCCTGCCTCAGCCTCCTGAGTCACTGGGATTACAGTCGTGCCCCACTTCACAAGCCTCCCCTGGAATTCTTCTGGATTTCTTAGCATTAAAGGGGTCACTGGAGTGCTCTGGGCAGTGCTGGGCAGGGGGTCTACCAGGAGGTGTGCACACTGGTGTTGGGGACGACCCCACTTTCTGTGCTCTGTTTCACCTGCCTCCCTCTCTGACTGGAAGTTCGTCCACCTTGACAGATGGAAGGCTGGAGGGCAGGGCAGGAGGCTGGGCACCCTGAGCCTTCTGCACACCCGTGCTTTCCTGATGCAGTCCTGACGGGGTGACAAGGCCTGGGGTGCAGCGTCCTGGCCTCCAGCCCCGGAGAAGGGCCCCAGGAAAGGCTCTTTCCCAAGCCTCCAGCTCACATCCTGTCCTATCTGCTTGCCCTTTGGCCTGAGCCATGGTGCTGGGGTGCTGGGGTGGGCGGCCATTGAGCAGCAGGTGGGCGGCAGAGGGGGCATGTGTGCTGGGCTGCCGTCTGCTGCCCTTGTTCTCTGTGGCTAGCAGAGACCCCACCCGCCAGCCCCCAGGTGTGGAAGTCAAGGCTGCCTCTTCCTCCTTCCTGACCTCCCTTCCTGTACCCTTGGCCTAGATCTGAGCCCTGCTGGAGGCGCTGCCCCCAGGCGGTTTGAGGGCCTGAGAGGGCCAGGCTGCTCAGGTGGCATGTGGCAGGGGCAAGGTAGGAGGGGCCTCAGGACTGGCATCGCTCAGGGGCTGCTGTCCTGGGGATGTGGCCCTCCTGTCCTCCTGGCCCAGCAGGGGAGAGGGGCCGGGAGGGGGCACCCAGTCTGGATTGCTGCATTCGTGTCCTGGGGCTGTTGTAATAAGAGGCCAGGTGGCTCGAGACCCCTGCCTCTCGGAGTGTGTGGGGTCCTTCCTGCCTCGTCCTTCCCACCCCTGGCGGCGGCCGCGGATGCCCAGGTTGTGGCCTCCTCACTGCGTTCTGCTGGGTCTCCACTCGCCCTTTCTCAGAATGACCCCCACCCTCCCCTTAGCGCACCTGCAAAGCACAGGCCGTGTTCTGAGGTTACAGAGGGACGTGTACTGGGCATGCTTAGGCCAGGACACCACCCCCACCCTGCTGTGGCTTTGCCTCAGCCTGGGGGCGGGGTTGAGGGTCATCAGCTTCTGGGCTCGTGGGCCACGGTGGAGTGGACCTGGGCTCCAGGGGACAGGCTGTGCTCCCTGCTCAGCCTTGAGGTGCTGGGGCCTCACCTCCCCAGCCTGCTCCCCTCTGCTGCACCCCATCTCCCATCGGGCCGGAGGTGGCAGCTCTTCCTGCCCACACATGCCAGCCGGTGGGGAGGATGGGCCCTGCCTCTGCACTCTGGCTCTGCAAGCACGGGCTGGGGCTCGGGAGGCTGTTCTGGCCTGGTGGGTACCTGGCTGGTAATCCTGCCCCTCCCTGCCCAGATGTGGACGAGTGCCGTGTGCACAACGGAGGCTGCCAGCACAGGTGTGTCAACACGCCCGGTTCCTACCTCTGCGAGTGCAAGCCTGGTTTCCGGCTCCACGCCGACGGCAGGACCTGCCTGGGTAAGTGCTACCTGGGGACCCTGTCCACCTCTGACCTCGGCTGCCCTGTGCGCCTGGGTGTGCCAGGTCTGGGGAAGGCCCCGTCCCTGCCCCCATGGGGCTGAGGCCTGACTGGGCTCTCACTGGGCATGGCCTCGGTGGCCTCAGCTGTCGCTGTAGAGGGAGTGTGGCTGCCACTGAATGTGGCCCTGTCCTGCTGTGGGGCATGACGGCTCCACCCCGGTGAGGTGAGGCCAGGCTGCAGCAGGTGAAGAGTGTGTCCCGAGGCGCTGACTCAGGTCCCTGAGACCCCAGGCGCCCTCCCTCTGCAGCCTGCCCAGTTCCATTGGAAAGCCGAAGCTGCCTGTGGTGGTCACTCAGCAGGACGCAGGCCAGGCTGTGCTGCCCTCGAGACTCGGAGCCTCAGGCTGCTCTCCAGCAGTCGGGGAGGCTGCCTGGGTCCCGTGGAAGGCAGGCACGTGAGCCGTGCCTGACCTGCAGAGCTGGCTTCTCGGGGACTCGGAGTGTGCGCTGCGGTAGGTGGGGAGTGGGGCGTGAGCCCCTGGCGCCCAGGGTCCTCTCAGCATCTACTGTGAGCTCAGTGGCGCCTGAGGACACAGACTTGGCCTCCACCACTAGGGGAGGCAAAGGGAGGTCCAGGAGCAGCCGAGCAAGGGGGCCGCCCAGGGATCTGGTGAAGAGCCGTGCTGACCCGCACTCTGCCCCGGCTCTGGACGCAGTGCTCTGGGGATGGGCCTGACCCTCTCGCTGGCCTCTAGGGGGCACGTGGAGTTGTCCTCTAGGGGACTGAATGAGACGCCCCTCTTTCCACCCTGGAGATCCAGAGTGGAGCCCGGGCTCCCTCCTGGTCCTGGCTGCTGTGTGGCTGGCAGCCTGCCAGCCCCAGGGGGCCGCTCCCCCACATGCAGCACATGTCCTTCTGCTCCGGGAGCCAGGCAGCTGCCCTGGGCGGGAGAGCAGAAGCAGCTGCAGGAATGTTGTGACGCGCTTCAGAGCAGATGAGCCGGGGCTGAGCCCAGCCGGCTGCCCGCTGCTGCTCCTGGGAGCCCTGGCAGGGGCTCAGTGGCCTTGGGTCCCCTGGTCCCCTGCGGCCTCCTAGAAGAGTGGCTTTGGGAGGGACATGTCCTCCCACTCCCTTTAGATAGGGTCATCTTTGGGGTCTGAGGTGGGGTCCCCTGCTGCTGGCTCCCTGCTGTCGTGGGGTGGGACACTCACTCCCATCCCGGTTCCCACTGCCTGATAGGTCGCCTTCCCTGAGATGCTCCCAAAGGGACCAGGACCAGGGTGGGAGGGGTCATTAACCTGCAGAAATGAGGGACGCTCCTTAGGTCTGGAGTGAGCTGCTGGCCTCAGGCAGCCCAGGAAGCATGCCCCTCAGCCTGGCCTGTCCCCTGCCCCCTCTGCCCACTGCTGTCTGGACCATTCCTGGAGCTAGGCCATCTGGGATCTGCGCACTGGGGCCAGAAGTCTTCCCAGGCACAGGTGTGTTTTAAAGGGTCTCTGCAGAGTCAGATGCCAGGGCTCCTGACTGTGGGGAGCCTCTGGGACCCCCAGCCCTCCTGGCTGTCCCAACACTACGCCTGTTTGAGTGGTTGGGCTCTCCAGAGCTTCAACACCTTCCAGGTACTGGTGCCCACCTGCAGGCCTCTCCCAGCTGAAGGTCCAGCTGGGACTCAGGCACTTTGGTGGGCTGCAGGGTAGTGACCTCAGATTCTCCCTGGACTGCAACTCTCAGAAAGGGTTTCATGCAGTGGAATGTCCCTGTGAGATATATCTGAGGGCTGTAGAGCGAGGACTGTCCTCGTGCTGAGGAACGCTGGTGGGCACTCACCACGCCAGCTCCCCCGGCACCACCCTGTGACTCGGGGCTGATGGCCTCGGCCGAGTTGAGCTGGGAAACACCTTCCTCTCCTGGCAAGACTCCGGTAGTGACCTGGGGACACAGGAGATTGGCCCTGTTCTCAAGCCACCTTTGCCGGCGCACACCCAGACCCCTTTCCCAGGGCTTTCTGGGACACTGGAACTTGTCCCCGTCTGGTGGCTTCCCTTTCCGCCGTCCATGCGTCTGGCTGTTGGTGGGTTCCTGTATCTGGAGGTCCTGAGAGTCTGGGCTTCCCATGGGCCTGCTGGCCTGGGTCCACCAGGAGCTGTCTTCCCTGTGGGCAACTGAGAGGCTGTAAGAGTGGACATGGGGTCTTCTGGGGACTTCTGGGGATTTCAGGGTGTCTCTGAGTCCCTTCTTGTTGATGAGGGACTTGTTCCTGGCTGCCGTTTTCCTGAGATGCTGGCCTGGGAGTGGGGGTAGCTGCACAGTCAGGTCATGGGTGAGGGACTTCCCTTCAGAAGTTAGGGGGTCTCCCCATCAATTTTCCTGGGTCCTAAAGGGCACTGCCCAGGCCATGCCAGGCTCGAGGGGGATGGGTTAGACTTCCTGCCCTTCTCAGCCCTCCCTTCCCCCAGGGCGCCCAGGGGGGGGCGGAGCTGTGGTCCTCCCTCTGGTTCACAGTGGCACCCTCTGCCTGAATTGCAGTAGGTCCTCAGTGGACGTGTACAGGAAGAATTAACACAGGCGCCGCGCTCTCCCCACGGGGCCAGCTGCCGGCAGGCTACACAGCTGGAGCTCAGCTGCAGCCGTGGGCTCCTCCTGGCAGGAGGGTGCTGCGAGCTCCCCTGGGGCTTGGCAGGAGGCAGGGGCTCACCCACAGCCCGGGCCCCCATGGCTTCAGCTCCCCTCTCCCCAGCAGCTCAGAGTGGGGACTTGAGGCTGGGGGCGGAAGGTGCCAGAGGGATTGGCCTTCTTCCTGCAGTGCGACGTGGGAGTCTCAGGGTGGGCCCCCTCGCGGGCTGAGGGACCTGGGAAGACCTCAGAGGAGGCGGCTTTTGAGGGGGGCCTAGAAACACATTTGAACTCACCTCCAGGGCAGGGGGAGAGGACGGGAAGTGCATGAGCTGCATATCCCTGATTCCAGATGATCTTACGGGAAGAAAATGCAGAAGGTTCCGTTTCCATTCTGAACAACAGAAGCCTACGAGGACCTTGCAAGTCAGTCCCTGGCGTGGGGGAACCTTGTTCCTGCCCAGGAGCCAGCATCCTGGGGGACTGCGTTGCCCAGGGTGCCTCCTGGGGTGCCCCATTTCTGGGATGGGGAGAGCAGGGCCCCGCCAAGCCCAAGGGCTGGTCCAGGCTTTCCAACCACAGGGGCCTGAGCCAGCGCCTGCTCTCCCCAGTGACGGGAAGGGGGCAGGCGGTGGTTTGGCTGATGGTCTGGGACTGTCACCCTTGTTTTCCATGACATCTTGCAGAGCACCAGTGTGCAAAACAGCCCCAGATCTTCAACACTTCGCTCAGGGGAACCTTCTGCCTCTGTGGGGCCGGGGTGCTCTGAGCCGGCACGCCCCCTGCCTGGTGGCCCAGGGGCCAGCCTCTCTGACCTTCTGGACTCTGGCCTAGACATGTCTGTCTCCTCCTGTCCCCTGGGTTGAGCAGTGGGGCCAGTCTGAGGACCCACAGATGTCACTGGCTCAACCCACAGAGGTCCCCTTCAGGTGCAGTGCCCTGGCCAGGCCCACGACTTTGTCCTCCTCCTCTGGGATGGACGCCCCTGCGGAGGGCTCTGCTGTCAGCTTGCAGGCCCCTGGTGGCCTGGCTGCCCCTGCCTGTGTGCCCCACCCAAGAGTCAGATGCAGCCAGTGTGTGCATGGCTGGACGGGATTCGCCGTCCGCTGGCTCTGTCCCTCCCGCAGACCTTGGGGCCGACCCCTCCGTCCCCAGGCCTGGGTCATCTGTGAGGACAGCGAGGGACTGCACAGGCCCTGCTTTCCCTTTGGCTCCTTCTGGGGGGCAGACTCCTCAGCCCAGGCCCGGGCTGGGTGCAGAACCTGTGGGGAAGGCCGGGCAGCAGAGCTGGGGGTGCAGATGAGAGAGCTCCCAGGGTTAGTCAGCGAGCCCAGTGAGGACCCGAGTGGCGTGGGGAGGTCGAGGAATGACTGGGGCCTGCGGTGGCCCTCACAGATGCCACGCACTGCTTGGGCCGTGGGCACAGTCCTGCCCCCTGGGCATGGCCTGCCCCCTGGACCTTCATATCTGCTGGATGAGACCAAGACTGATTTAAATGACAAACCAGACATTTTCACAAATGAAAGAAAAAAAAAAAAGGGCTGTTGCTTGCAGGACTTCCCGCAGGATCAGGGAATGGAGGAGGGCTCTGGGCGGGGCAGTGGCTGGCACAGCTGGGTTGGCGGAGGGTGTGGGGGTGCGTGTTGCTCTCCCTGCTGCTGTTGTCGCCTCTCCAGGCCACACTGAAGGGTCCTGGTGCTGTCTGTGGCCAGGACAGGGGAGGGCGGCATGACTGGTGGGGTCACGGGTGCCACCCCTGCTGATCTCCATGGTGCCCTTGGGAGGGCCCCCTTTAGAGAGAGCTGGGGTGGGGGCAGGATGCCCAAGGCACGGGCTGCCCATGGGCAGAAGGGGTTGAATGCCTGTCCTCTCCTGCCTCCCTGGCTCTGCCCCAGTGGAGGGCTTCCTAGAAGGAAGGGTGCGGTGGCTGGGTGGGGGGCCTTCTCTGGACCCCGAGACCACACTCATCAGAGGGTAGTGACTACAGAACCTCGTGACATCAGGAGGACCAGAGCTGCCCGGGGTCAGCCCCAAACCACAGTGCTGGGCTGGAGCTCTGGCAGAGTGAGCTGGCGGGCATGGCCTTCTGTGGTGTGGCCCATGGTGACCAGCTCCCGGTGGCCTGGAGGCCAAGACCTTGCCAGCAGAGCTGCCCCCAGTCCACCTTGGACAGCCCCACCTGCTGAGCCTCCTGAGGCTGCAACAGTGCCCTCTGTCCAGCAAGCTGGAGCAGGTCCTTGGCCTATAGGAAGCGAGTTTTCCAGGGTGCCCAGTTTCCTCCTCCTTTTGCAGGGGTGGGTGCCCACGTGTCCACCGGTGATGCCTGCTGGCCGAGGCGGATTTGCAGCTTGACTCTCGGGTCCTGCAGGCAGCCTGGCCGGAGGGCAGTGCCTCCAGTCTGCAAGCCAGGAGTCAGGGAGCACGGGTCAGTGTGGGCTTCCGTGCCGGGACGCCAAGGACTGGGTGACTTACACAGTGGAGGTTCATGTTCTCGCTGTCACAGCTGCTGGAGGTCAGAGATGAAGGTGCTGGCAAATCTGGGTCCTGCAGGATCAGGGCCCCACCTGCCTGACCTCACTCTACCTTCATCCCCTCCAGAAGGACCCTGGCTCCAAATGTGGTTGCATTGGGGTTAGGGCTTCAACAAATGTGTCTTTGAGGGAGAAACATCAAGTTCCAAACGCCCTGTGTCCCCAGCTGTATTCACTTGGGTCTTCTCTGGACATGGGCGTGGACCTAAGCCAGGCCCTGGTGGGCAAGGCCCCAAGCTGAGGGCCGAAGACGGGCAGGACTGGCTCCGCTCCCCAGGACTGCGCACACAGCGGCAGACCCCGCTGCCTGTAGCTTTCCCTTTGAGACACACCACTTCTGTGGTGTAGAGGTGGAAGGGAATCGGCGGTCATGGAGGCAGCTCCGTGAGCATGTGCCTGTGCACAGGGAGGCAGGGAGAGCCTGTCCCACCAAGGCCAGTCCCCAGGCCCTGCCTTCTGATGAACGCACCTAGCTTTGCTTCAGGTCTGAGCTTGGCTGAGTCTTTGGTGTGGCTGGTATAGGATCCCTGGGCTGTAGGTCCCACAGCTGGGGCTCAGTGGCCAGACTGCCTGGGAACAGCCCCACAGGCTGGCCTCTGCACTGGGGAATCTGCCTCTCAGCCTTCTGGGAATCCCCCACGCAGGATGAGCAGAGGACGCTGGCTTGGCTCCCTGGTGTGCACAGCTTGAGAGCATCTGGGATGTCCCAATTCTGTGAAGCAGAGGACCAGAGGACAAGCTCTGTCCTGGGACTCTAGGCTGCACAGGGACCCCAGCCCCTCCCTTGCGTCTGCCCCTGGTGGGGAGCCTGCATGAGGACCCCAGGCCCTCCCCGGTGTCTGCCCCTGCTGGGCTCACCCTTGGGCCCACCTCAGGGGCTACGCCCCTCTGGGGGTACTGAGGAGAAGTCCCTTCCAGTCCTGCACAGCCCCTCGGGCCCTTGTCGTCCGTGGTCCGTGCTCCCTGCTCGCCTGCAGGCTCTGCCCCCCTGAGCCTGCTGGTCTGCCTGCTGATCTGCCAGACGCGTCTGGTTCCCATTAGGCTGCTGAGGAGGGGTGCCGTTGGTGTGGTGAGCACAGATGAACAGAGTCCCCAGGAATGTGGGGCCAGCTCAGGTCATGTGGCTCGGGAGCCCTGAAGGGAGGGCCAGGGCTGAGCAGAGCTGGAGAGGTGAGGTTGGCCGGGTGGGGGGCAGAGTTGGGGAGGTTCTGTGGGGGATTGCTGCAGTTCTGCCCTGCTTGAGTGTGCCACAGCCACAGGGTGACCACTGCCTCCCCTGCAGCAGCTTTGCTCGGGTACTCGTGGTGGGGGGACCCTGGGCAGTGCTCTCCAGCATGGTCGTGGGGAGGCAGGCGCTCTGGCGAGTGCTGTGGTTTCTGAGCCAGCTTGCTCCAGGGAAGCCCGGCTCTGGCCGACAGCTCCCCGGGTTCACGGAGCCCCAGCAGCTCACGTGCTCCACACGGCACCACCTTGGCCTCCAGCGCCTGCTCCTCCATGGTGCCAGCCCTGGCCCCCAATCCTATATGCCATGACCGTCACTGTTTCCCAAACTCGGGCCAGGCCGGCTGCCCCCGGGGTTGGCAGCATCTCCACCCTAGGCAGCATTGTGGGGTGACACCTGGCCCCCACACTCAGTGCTTTGGTAACGGGGCTCAGGTTGGCATGGACAGCACAGCTCTGGCGCAGGCCTGGCGGCAGACGGTCTTACCCGCCCGGCCGGGGAAGAGCACATATTTGTGGTTTCCCTGCTGAGCTTGGGGCCAATTCCTCTCTAACCACAAGGCGATTGCCAGAGACTTGATTGTAACCAAATCTGTACCAAGGAGCTGGCTGCTGCTTCTGGTGGAGGCACAGGGCCACCTGGGCCAGCCAAGGCCATGCCTGCTATCCATCCGTGGGGTACACAGCTCCCCACTGGGCCACTGTCGCCACGGGGCCTGTGCCTGAGGGGCTCAAGCATGAAGGATGGGGATGCGGCCTCTGCCTGTGGCCTCACCTGGTACCGTCCTTGTGACCTCTGAGGGGACTGGGCACTGGGATCCGGTTCCAGTGAGGCGTGGCCCTTCTAGGGTGGGAGGGGGCGGCTCCTGTGTCCTAGGAGCTGGTGGCCAGGCCTGCACGCCACAGTGGCCACCCACAGTGGCTCCACACCCACCCCTCTGCCGCGTCCTCCAGGGAGCATGCTGGCTGTTCCTGGCCACTGTCCCTCTTGGGCATCTCAGAGGCCTGGGGTTGGCGTCCTCTGGTGGGGAGAGCAGGGCTCTGTTGAGGCAGGACAGTCCGCAGTGCCTCTGTGTCCCGCCCTCAGGAGGGCAGAACTGGAGGGACCTGAGCACGGCCACCGACCTCCAGACCTGAAGGTGGCTGAGAGCTCCGTCAGCTGAGGCCTGCCGCGCCTGCTCCCAAGGCCCACGAGGCTCCCAGGTCCAGGACAGCGACACAAAGGCAGAGGACCCGGGGGCTGCAGGAGGTGGCCGCCTCGTCCTGCTCCTGCCAGCCTGGGGTGAGGTCTGGAGCAGGCTGTCCCCTCAGCTGACTTGGGCTCCTTTCTGTGTCCCCAGCCGTCAACTCCTGTGCCTTGGGCAATGGCGGCTGCCAGCACCTGTGCGTCCAGCTCACGGTGACGCGTCATCGCTGCCAGTGCCGGCCGGGCTTCCAGCTGCAGGAGGACGGCAGGCGCTGTGTCCGTGAGTGCCACCCTCCTGGGAGGGGCGGGGACTCTGCAGACACCCTGCCCTTCACAGACCTGCCCAGGACCCGAAGCCTGGGCTGGAGAGCTGGGCGGTGGCTGGAGGTGACCCTATGGGACCTGGTCGAGGAGGGAGGGAGGGAGGGTCTAAGCGGGGCCTGTAGGCTGGGCTCTGGGGTTGACACCAGGGGCAGGAAGCCAGCATGGGGATGGCACGCCAGACGCCCACCCGGAGCCCAGGCCCTGCGCAGAAGAGGCAGCCAGGCCCCCTCAGCCTGTGCCCGAGGGACCTGGAGCTGCCCGCATGGGGGCTGTGCTGAGAGGGTGGGGCAGAGCAGGAGTGGGACAGGTGCTGAGAGCCCTCCTGCATGCTGGCCCCCGGGGCCTTCCCAGCAGGGTAGTGAGTGAGTGTGGCTCCAGGTCCACGCCAGCCGTGGGCAGATGGAATGGGTCACGGGGCTGAGAGTCATGGTACCAGGGGGTTAGAGTACCATGGATGTCTCAGGGATGAGGGGGTCACAGGGCTGGGGGTGACACAGGGCTGGGGGTGGCACAGGGTTAGGGATCACAGGATTGGTTGTCACAGGGCTGAGGCTGTCACAGGGCTGGGGGTCACAGGGCTGGGGGTCACAGGGCTGGGGGTCACAGGGTTGGGGGTCATAGGACTAGGGGTCACAGGACTGGTTGTCACAGGGCTGAAGTGTGTCACAGGGTGGGGGTCACTGTGCTGGGTGTCACAGGTTGGGATCACAGTGCTGAGGATGTCACAGGGCTGAGGGGGTCACAGGGCTCAGTATAACAGGACTGTGGGGGTCACAGCTGAGGTGTCACAGGATTAGCGGTCACAGGGCTAAGGGTATCATAGCCGGGGTCCACAGCCCTGGTGTCCACTCTGGCACCTCAGTGCTAAGACAGGACTTTGAAGGGGCTGGCTGACCACTGCTGGGCAGGCCAGGGCTGGCTGACCACTGCTGAAGGCCCTTGTCTGGTTGGGCCTCCCTTCCTGGTGTCCCTCTGGCCTCCTGGGAAGCCCACCGAGTGCTGGGGGTTCATGGGATACAGGCAGCTGGTGTCCCGGTGGATGCTCAGGGGAGCCCTGGCCTTTCCTGAGGCCTTGGGGCTTCCCAGGCTGGAGCAGGAAGCGGCGGGAGGTCCCAGGGCTGGTGTCCCCAATCTGCTGGTCCCACCCTGATCCCTCCCCTTCCCCATTCCTCTGTCCACACTGCAGGGAGAAGCCCGTGTGCAGATGGGAATGGCGGCTGCATGCACACGTGCCAGGTGCTGCGGGGCCTTGCCCACTGTGGGTGCCGAGTGGGCTACCAGCTGGCTGCAGACCGCAAGGCCTGTGAAGGTGGGACCCCCGCTCCACCTGCCCATGTCACTGCAGCCCTGGACACGTGGCTCACCTTGCCACCCTTGGGTGACCAGGATGGAGTGGGTGGGAGGCCGGGTGAGGAGCACCCCGGGAGCTGCCTCCAGCAAGGCTCGTTTTGACAGGGGCAGCTGAGGTTTCATTCCGAGGTCTCTTGCAGTGGGCAGCATAGCTGCTGTTGGGAACTGGGGAGAGGGCAGCGGAGTGGGGCTGCCCGAGGAGCCCGGCAGAAACCTGCCGCCGTCCCTGGTGCTGTTCTCTGGGGCTCCTTGTTAAATGGTGCTTAGTGTCAGGTCACGTTTGGGAGATATTGGCTGATGGCCTTTCTGCTTCCCTGCTGCTGTCCAGCTGCAGGGCCCTGCTGTGCCTGGGCTCGACCACAGGCCTGGGTGTCCAGTATCCCTGGCTCTCGCCCGTGGCCAGCACGGCTGGGAAGAGCAGCCCTGTGGTGTGTGGCGGCTGTCCTTGGCCCGCGACCTTTGGGCCAGTGATAAGCCAAGGGGTGTCCAGAGAGGCAGTGGTCAGTTTCCGTGGTGTCCCATCAGACGGCCAGCTGCCCACAGGGTCTGGAAGTTCGTGCTTCCCCACCCCATGAGGACCAGGAAGTTGCCGCTGGTGTGGAGGTTGAGCCTGTCACTCTGGGTGCAGGTGGCCGCCGCAGGCTCAGTATGAGCCTAGCTCAGGGTCAGCCTCATCCTGAGGAATCTGCTGGGGTGCGGCTGTTGCAGTTGCCGGGACAGCGGAGTTTGGTCCTGACCGCCAGTGTGTGTGGCCCCAGGCCAGCATTACTGTGCCCGGGGTGCCCGTGGTCATGAGCTTCCTCCACTGTCCCTGGGGAGTGAGAAGACATCTCCCGTGCCCTTAGACCTGCCTTTGGTCTCTCTGCTCCAGACGTGGATGAATGTGCCTCGGGACTGGCCCAGTGTGCCCACAGCTGCCTCAACACTCGGGGGTCCTTCAAATGCGTGTGCCACGCAGGCTACGAGCTGGGTGCTGATGGCCGGCAGTGCTACCGTGAGTGGGCAGCGAGCGGCCACTCCGGTGCTGAGGGTGGCCGCGTGGCCCTCAGCCCTCAGCCCTCAGCCACTTAGCCGCCCTCAGCCCCCCTGGGCTAGCTTCTGGGCCCATGGGGAGGCCCTGGATTCCAGTCCCCGTCCCCCACCTGCTGGCCTGTCCCGTCACAGGGATCGAGATGGAGATTGTGAACAGCTGCGAGGCCGGCCGGGGCGGCTGCTCCCACGGCTGCAGCCACACCAGCGCAGGGCCCCTCTGCACCTGTCCCCATGGATACGAGCTGGACGAGGACCAGAAGACCTGTGTTGGTAGGAGCGGGTTCCGTCCAGGGCAAGCCGCCTGCCCGCTGGACACAGGCTGCCACCCGGGCCTGGGGCTGGGGTGACACCATGACTCGGAGGGCTCCCCTGCCTCCCCGTCCCTGCCCTGGCTGCTTGGGCTGACCAGGGGGTGCTGACCTGGAGAGGGGCAGCGTCACAGCAAGAAGGACCTGGCTGCCTGCAGGCCACCACCTGACACACTTGGCCCCACCTTGGCCCTGGCTGTGAAGTGTGCTCTGTGTGTGATGTGTGCAGTGTGTGGGTGTGCAGGTGTGTGTGGGTGTGCAGGTGTGTGTGGTTGTGTGTGGTATGTGGTTGTGTGCAGGTGTGTGTGGTTGTGTGTGGTATGTGGTTGTGTGCAGTGTGTGGTAGTGTGCAGGTGTGTGTGGTGGTGTGTGGTGTGTGGTTGTGTGCAGTGTGTGGTAGTGTGCAGGTGTGTGTGGTGGTGTGTGGTGTGTGGTTGTGTGCAGTGTGTGGTAGTGTGCAGGTGTGTGTGGGTGTGCAGGTGTGTGTGGTTGTGTGTGGTATGTGGTTGTGTGCAGTGTGTGGTAGTGTGCAGGTGTGTGTGGTTGTGTGTGGTGTGTGGTTGTGTGCGGTGTGTGGTAGTGTGCAGGTGTGTGTGGTAGTGTGCAGGTGTGTGTGGTTGTGTGTGGTATGTGGTTGTGTGCGGTGTGTGGTAGTGTGCAGGTGTGTGTGGTTGTGTGTGGTATGTGGTTGTGTGCGGTGTGTGGTAGTGTGCAGGTGTGTGTGGTTGTGTGCAGTGTGTGGTAGTGTGCAGGTGTGTGTGGTTGTGTGTGGTATGTGGTTGTGTGTGGTGTGTGGTAGTGTGCAGGTGTGTGTGGTTGTGTGTGGTGTGTGGTTGTGTGCAGGTGTGTGTGGTTGTGTGCGGTGTGTGGTCATGTGCAGGTGTGTGTGGGTGTGCAGGTGTGTGTGGTTGTGTGTGGTATGTGGTTGTGTGCAGTGTGTGGTAGTGTGCAGGTGTGTGTGGTTGTGTGTGGTGTGTGGTTGTGTGCAGTGTGTGGTAGTGTGCAGGTGTGTGTGGTTGTGTGTGGTGTGTGGTTGTGTGCGGTGTGTGGTAGTGTGCAGGTGTGTGTGGTAGTGTGCAGGTGTGTGGTCGTGTGCAGTGTGTGGTAGTGCAGGTGTGTTGTGTTGTGTGCTGTGTGTGGCTTTGTGCAGGTGTGTGACTGTGATTGTGTGTGTGTGCAGGTGTGTGACTGTGATTGTGTGTGTGTGTGTGTACAGGTGTGTGTCCCTGGGTGTAGGTGTGAGGCAGTGTGGCTGTCGCAGGTGTGTGTGGAGGTGATGTGGCCATGTGCACAGTGGTTGGAGGGCAGGAGGCTGAAGGCGTGTGTGGCTGTGTGGGCGTGCGGGCGAGCGCATGAGCGTGTGCAGGGTGGTCTGCGGGGCTGTGGGGCGGGTGTGGAGGCGCCGGGTGCCAGTGGCCTGCCGTGTGCCCTGCAGACGTTGACGACTGTGCCGACTCCCCGTGCTGCCAGCAGGTCTGCGCCAACAGCCCCGGCGGGTACGAGTGTGGCTGCTATGCCGGCTACCGGCTCAGCACCGATGGCTGCAGCTGTGAGGGTGAGCGCCTGCCGGCCCGCGGACAGCTGGGCGACTAGGGCAAGGACAGGCCAGCGCGGCCCTCCCATGGTGCTCGTCGAATCCGCCCGTCTTGTGCCCGCCCCCGGCATTCGTGGAGTGCCTGCCGACTGCAGCCTGCTGACCCGCCCTCCCTCCCTCTGTCCTGGGGTCCCTGGCCTGCAGTCCTGGCTGCTCCCTGAGTTTCTCTCCTAGTGTGGCCGCCCTCAGGCAGGTATCTAGTGTCTGCCCCTGGGGGTGAGGACAGCGAGGCCGCAGTGGTGTTACCAGCCAGCTTAGGGAGACAAGGTGCTTGGCTCCGTCCAGCAAGCAGGGCCAGGACTGGCATGGCCCCTGAGGTTCTGACCCAGGCGCACAGTCCAAGTGGTCCCATTTTCCCGCAGACATGGACGAGTGCGCCTCTGGCCACGGAGGCTGTGAGCACCACTGCACCAACCTGGCCGGCTCCTTCCAGTGCTCTTGCGAGGCCGGCTACCGGCTGGACGAGGACCGCAGGGGATGCACCCGTGAGTCTCCCCTCCCGGCACCCCTGCGCCACTGTGGCTGGCCCCACCCCCTTGCCTCCTGGGCCTGCGGGGCCCCGCGTGGTCCTGCCCCCTACTGTGGGGGTGGGGAAGGGAGCTGGCCACACAGGCATCTCCCAGGGCCAAGTGCACGGGGGTCTAGCTGGGCCCTGACCAGGTGAGGGAAGGGCCACAGCCCAACACAATGTTGTCCCTGGGGACATCAGGGGGCAGCCGGGACTCTGGGCCTCTGTGTCCCTCCCCAGCTCTGGAGGAGCCCACGGTGGACCTGGATGGCCAGCTGCCCTTCGTGCGGCCCCTGCCCCACATCGCGGTGCTGCGGGACGGGCTGCCGCAGCTCTTCCAGGACGACTCTGGGGCCGAGGAGGCGGAGGCGGAGGCGGAGCTGCGGGGAGAGCACACACTCACTGAGAAGTTTGGTGAGGGTGGCCCGGCTTGGAGCTCCTGTCCTCAGGGGCAGCCACCAGGCTCCTGTCACCCGTGGCCTTGGGCATAAGGAGGGAGCTGCTGGGGCCCAGAGAAGTGGAGCTCCTTGCCTAGTTTGCACAGACCGACGGGGGCCAGAGCAGGTCCCCGGCTCCCAGGTCGGCTCGCCTGGCCTCATCCCACCTCACGCTCGTGGATCCTCCCGGCTAAGGGTGTGCCTTGGTCCTCTTCCTGACCCGAGGGCCCGAGTCCAGCCCCTGGGCCTGCCAAGCCCAGGCAGGGAACGAGGCTGGGGCCAGGCTCTGAGTCCCTCTCTGTCCACCCCAGTCTGCCTGGGTGACACTTTCGGCCAGGACTGCAGCTTGACCTGCGACGACTGCGTGAACGGAGGGACCTGCCTCCCAGGCCTGGATGGCTGCGACTGCCCCGAGGGCTGGACCGGGCTCGTCTGCAATGAGAGTGAGGCCATGGGCAGGGCTGGGCGCCGGGCAGGGGGCCTCTGGGCCCAGACGTGTGGGCAGCCCACTCGGTGTTGCTCCTCCTGGGAGCCCTGGGCAGGGGGCTTGGGGGTCCGTCCATCCGTGCATTCCTCGTTTCTTGATAAGTTCTGCTGCCTGCGTCTGTGCCGGGCACTGCTTGGTACTGCCCAGGGACAAGCCCCAGGCGTATGAGGCTCCGCCTCAGTCTCCAGGAGCCCAGCTGCAGCCATACCCCAAGGCACCTGGGGCAGGGGCACCTGGGAAGGGAGTGGTAGGGGGCTTCTCTGGGGTAGGTAGCCAGGACGTCCTGCGTCCCCCGGGAGCAGGGACCCCGGGGCCACACGGCAAGCTAGTAGCTAAAGCACTTTGCAATTCCTCTCGATCCAGAGCCGTCCACTCCCTGCCCAGCACCCCAGAGCAGCGTGGCCCTGGAGGTCAGGGCCCTTCTCCAGGGCCATGGGCAATGCCTGGTTTGAAAGGGCTGGTTCAGAAGGACCCGAGTCTTTTCGTTGGAGGGAGAGGTTGGCGGTCGTAGGGTCTCTGCCGCAGTGTGGTGGAGGCCTAGCACACCTAGCACACCTAGCACACCTAGCACAAATTGCACAAATTGCTCCAGCTGCAGAGCTGCAGCGCTCAGGTCTGCTGAGTGTCCAGGGCGGACACTGGCCACTGACCTGGTGCTTCCCTCTCCCCACTGTAGCTTGTCCTCCAGACACCTTTGGAAAGAACTGCAGCTCCCCCTGTGGCTGCCAGAATGGAGGGACCTGCGATCCTGTGACGGGTGCCTGCCGCTGTCCCCCAGGTGTCAGCGGGACTCACTGTGAGGACGGTGCGTGCAGCCCCTGGGGCAAGGGGGCAGGGGCAGGGGCCTGTGCCACCACCCCCCTGCCTGCATCCTCCTAGGCACTGCTGGGCTCAGGAGCCGTGAATGTAGTCCTTGCTCAGACCCCTGCCCCTACCTCCAGGGCTGAGGCTGGGAGGGAAGGAGACCATTCAGTGGGACAGCCTTCATTTTTCAGTGTTGCTCCTCTTCCAGGGCTTGACTCTAGATGGTATAGATTGAGGGATGATGTCTTTGCAGTGGGCGCCGTGGGTAGGTAGTGAGCCTCCTGTTCCTGGAAGCATTCAAGTAGAGCTGGGTGTTGGCTGGCTGGGGTATGCAAGAGGCTGTTCTGCCTGGGCTGGTGGCCGTGGGGGTGATCCTGCGTGGGGTGATCTCGGCTATCTCAGTTTATGGAGAAATCAGGGTCTGTGTAAATAAGTTTCCTAGGAGCTAACGCTTGTCTCTGGGCCTTCAGACCTTCCGGGCCTGCCCTTTTGGCTGGAGAGGAGGGGATGCCAGTTCAGCTTCCTGCCTGAGCGAGAGGAGGCACAGTTGACAGACACTGACCCCCAACGCTCTTTGTGGCACATGCTGGGCTCTGCAGGCTGGTTGTTCGGGGGCAATAGAGTCCCCAGGCAGCCATGTGGCTTTCTAACTCTTCCCCGTGGTCAGCGCCCCTGCTGTCCTTTCCCCCTCCTCTGCCGGCACTGTCACGCAGAGGCTGACAAACCCATGACTTGGGGGCCGGAGTGCACAGGTGTGTGTAGGCGGGGCACACCTGGCAGGTGAGGATCTGAATCTCAGTGCTTCTGCTTTGCGTTATCCACGGGGCCTCCCAGAGACGGGTCTTGGGGTGTCCTGTGGAGGGCCACCAGAGGCCCTGCTAGTAAGTGCTCCTGTGCAGGTCAGCGGAGGGAGGGCTGTCCCCGGAGACAGGCAGGTGAGTTTTCAGGGTGCTTGGCTCCCCTTGGCTGTGGTCTCTGCCCGAGACTTCACACGGCCCTGCCTCTGCCCGTGCCTTACTCTTCCTGTCTCAAACCCCGCCTGCCTGGACCCTGACGCTGGTCATTGGATTTAGGTCCACCTGGGCAGTGCAGGGCAGTCTCATCCTGAGAGCCTGGGGACTAGGATGTGGACAAAGCTCTTGGGGGTCCACCTTTAACCCACTATAGCCACTTGAAGGGGAGGAAGGACGGACAGGGCAGGGCAGAGCCAGAGGGAAGTGCTTTGGGAAGGACAGCGCTGCCCGGGGCCTCCTGAGGTTTGGGCTGGGCCTTGGCCTGGTGAGGCCTTGTGTCCTTCCTGCTTTGAGGCAGGGAGGTCAGGTTTGGTGCTCCAGGTGTGGTCAGGTGCTGGAGCACTGGACATGAGCTCCGGTCCCTCAGGGGTGTGCTGGGGGATGGACTTGGCCACCCATTCTTGTCACGGACCCTGGGGGTCCTGGCTGACCCAGCTGGTGGCCTCATCTAGGAGATCCATCTCATGCCCCTGGCAGATGCTGCTCCTGACTCTTACGCTGGACTAGGCCTGCATGTCCCTTAGATAGGGGTCACTCTCTGAGTCTCACTGGGCCCCCACCCTCAGGCTGCCCCAAGGGCTTCTATGGCAAACACTGTCGCAAGAAATGCCACTGTGCCAACCGGGGCCGATGTCACCGCCTCTACGGGGCCTGCCTCTGTGACCCGGGGCTCTATGGCCGCTTCTGCCACCTTGGTGAGTCCTGCCGCCCCTGCGATGTCTGAGCTGGCTGCTATGTGGGGGGTGGGCAGTCCTTGTCCTGCGCCAGCCACACGCTGCCAGCCGGGGTCCAGGGTCTGTTCCTGATCTGTGGATGCCAATCCATGTCCTCCACTGCAACTGGGCTGTCCCCAGCCTGTGGCACCCCCAGCCCCAGCCCAGAGAGGTGGGAGGGCAGAGGCCCGAGCAGTCCTCCCAGGCCTGGTGGGTCACACAGCCCCAGGGGCCACAGGCAGGCAGGAAAGAAGCTCCTCCTTCATCCGGAAAGGAGTGTGTCCCCTGCCTAGGGGAAGTGGTGGGACCTGGGCAAGTCCCTAAACTTCACAGACCCTGGGGCTCATCTGTCAAGTGGACACACCGGCTTCAGCCCCCTGGGCATGAGAAGAGGTGCTCTGAGAGGTGCCCCGATTCCCAGAACACGTCCCCCAAGGGGCACAGCCACAGAGGCCCATCACCTTCACCCTGTGTTGGGGACAGGGGGTGCCGTGGGCAGCCCTCTCATGGCTATGTGGATGCAGCCTGCCCGCCCTGGGCCTTCGGGCCGGGCTGCTCCGAGGAGTGCCTCTGCGAACAGTCCCACACGCAGTCCTGTGACCGGAGAGATGGCACCTGCTCCTGCAAGGCTGGCTTCCGGGGCAGGCGGTGTCAGGCAGGTGAGCATGGCAGGGTGGGGGGGCTCCTGGGGCAGGCGGTGTCAGGCAGGTGAGCATGCTGTGTGGGGGGCCCCCTGAGAGGGCGGCCAAACCCATCCACCCCTCTGGTGCCCCTCACCCCGCAGAGTGCGAGCCAGGCTTCTTCGGGCCAGGATGCCAGCATACGTGCACCTGTCCCCCAGGCGTGGCCTGTGATCCTGTGAGCGGCGAGTGTCGGGAGCAGTGTCCTGCTGGCTACCGGGGGCAGGACTGTGGTCAAGGTGAGGCTGGGCCCCAGAGGGAGCCAGTGCTGGAGGCCACCTGGCCCCTTGCAGAGGCTGACTCCCAGAAGTGCTGCTCAGCTGGAGGACGGCAGGCTGCGGCACCTTTACCCTTGGTGTCACCTCCATCATCAGGCAGTGGCAGGCCACTGGTCTGTGTCTGAGGAGCTGCTCGGGGCAGCAGCTGCCTGTCTGCCCAGGTCTGGCTCAGGGAAAGGGTCAGTGCTCTGAGGAAGCACCCGGGCACTCCTCCCTTCCACCGGGACAGGGAGCACCGGGCACGGGAGCCCGGGGCAGCAGGCTCGAGTGTAAGCAGCCACCGGGAGCAGAGGTGGCAGCTGCCCTCGGGGGTTAGAGGGGCCACGGAGGCAGTGATGGAGGCCCCTCCCTGTGGATCTTGTGGCCCAGGCACGTGAGGAACACAGAGCCTGGGGACCCCACGTTATGTGGCAGCTAGAAGAGGAGGTCACAATGGCCACCTGGGATATGGATCGTGACGCCGATTCTCAGGTGTCCCTGGGGGTCTGGCTATCCAGCACCCTGACCTGTTGGCAGCCTGGCCTGGACAGCATGCCTTGAGAGGGCACCATGTTGGCTTAAGGACCCTCAGCCACCTGGGCCAGGTGACCTGAGGCTCAATGTCTCCATCTGACCCAGGCCAGTTCCTCTGAGGCAAAGACGCTGTCAAAGGCTCTTTGGTCCTGTTGGTACAGGAGGGACAGCACAGGGCTCAGAGCCCAGCCTGGAGTCCCCAGACCTGAGTGGACTCACAGGAACTCTGTGGTCTCAGGCCACAGTCAGCAGCTGAGTGTCCATTTCCCCACCTGTGCAATTGCCACGGGAGCTCGGTCATGATGAAGGACTGAGGTCCTCCGGACAACCTGACATGCCTGCACGCACACACACACACACACACACACGCCGGACGGGCAGGCATGTGCATGGGCACACAGGCACATGGGCACACTCCCTTGCGGCCTGCCATCCCTTGTACCCACCCCGTCTAGACTCACTGCCTGCCAGGGCCCAGTGAGGAGGCCTGTCCACCCACCCTGCTGGCCCATCTGCTAAGAGGCCCTTCTGGCCCCTCCCTATCTCCCACCCTTTCTTTTTTAAGTTTTTAAATTTAAAAGCCTGCAGTGGCCTCAGGATGGCCGCGGGAATGGACACACACTTTTGTAGAGTTGGCGTTCCCTCTGTGGGCCTGGAAACTTGCCGTCCACCACGTCCGCCCGTAGGAGCTGGGGAGGCTGCTTCCCCGTAGCGCTGGGCCCTCTCCTCTGGTCCAGGTGTGTGCTACCCTGGTGCTTGCCTCGTGCACCCGGTCCTCTAGAGGGTGCCCAAATGCTGGGTGCACACCTGTGCCTTGGCCTGCAGTCCACCTCATTAGGGCTGCTGGCTCTGCAGGGCAGTGGGATGCCTCCCCTGCCCAGACTTCCCACCCCAGACTCAGTCACTGTCCTCCTGGGCCAGGAGGCTGGACTTGGGCCCTGAGGGCAGGGCAGGTGTGGGGAGCGGCCACTGCAGGCCTCCCAGGGCAGAGTTGGGCTCCAGGGTAGCACGCATCTCCTGAGACCCTGCTGGGGGCCTTGCAGGGTCCTGTCCAGGGTATAGGGGCTCTGCATTGCCGCTCTCTGCGCCTACTGAGTGGTGGGGTGGGGGACCCGAGGCCTTGGGGCCCACTCTCAGTGTGCAGAGCATTCTGGCCACTATTCTTCCCCACCCCGGGTCACCAGGTGGATGCAAATCCTCCCCCAGCCCCTGGGGCTGAGGCCGTGGGGGTGTCCCCAGCTGGCTGGGGGGTGGGGAGACGGGACTGGCACAACCTGGGCAGGTCTCCGTGGGGGAGGAGGAACGCAAGGTTGCCACCCTTCCCGGGGCACTGTCTGGGGCACTGTCTGGGTCTGGCGGCTGTGGCTTCCACCTGACAGGCGCCTTGCCCTCCTGCTGCCCTCCACCTGACCTGCCCCAGTCCTTCACCCCCAAGGTAAAGGAGTGCTCCTGGGCCCGGCTCCCAGTGTCCAGCAGCCTCTGCTGGAGCTGGAGCAGGTGTCTGGGCCCCGGGCGGGGGGTATTGTTGCCAGGAGCCTCAGAGGGCAGGGAAGACTGCCTGGCTGGGCAGCCTCTCATGGGGTGGCTGAGGCCCCTACTGTCCCTCCTGCAGAGTGCCCAGAGGGGACATTTGGTGTGAACTGCTCAGGCTCCTGCTCCTGTGGGGGTGCCTCTTGCCACCGGGTCACAGGGCAGTGCCTGTGCCCACCAGGCAGGACCGGAGAGGACTGTGGGGCAGGTGAGTGGCGGCAGCATCCTCAGACCACTCTTTCCTGGGCTGCAGGAGTTCAGGTGGGGTCAGCTCGGGCTGTGTTCAAAGACCCCTGCTGGACCATACTTGAAGACCCCTGGGCCATCTTTGGGGACCCTGGCACAGGCCATGCAGATCCCAGGCCCTCTACAGAAGCTTCAGGAACTGTGCTGGACTGAGCCTGGTGTGGGCAGGGAGCCTGGGGCCTGCAGTGTCCCCCTACACAGGCAGCGCACTGCCTGGAGATCTGGCCTCTCCCTCTGGCTGCCCTCTTTGTCTGTTGAGCCGTCCCTGGAACTGGGGCTTCACTTCTGTGGGTGGTGCCCTGCAGCCCCAGGAGGTGCCCAGGGCCCTGAGGACGCAGCCCCTCCTCTCCTGGCAGCCTCAGATGGGAAGCCTGCTTCCCCTCCTGGCCTGCTCCAGGGGGTCAGTGTTGTGCCAGGCACACGCTGACCTGCCGGCGAGGACAGGGGAGGGAGACTGACTGGTGCTGGGGGCACTAGATTGTCCCGAGGGCCACTGGGGGCTCGGCTGCCAGGAGATCTGCCCTGTGTGTGAGCACGGTGCCCGCTGTGACCCCGTGACGGGAGCCTGCCTGTGCCTCCCCGGCTTCGTGGGCAGCCGCTGTCAGGACGGTGAGTGGCTCACACCTGACCTCAGCCTTGGGCGGTGGCCTGGTGGGTGTGCTGGCCACCGCCCTGACCCTCCTTCACTGCCTACAGCTTGCCCAGCAGGCTGGTTTGGACCCGGCTGTCAGACGAGGTGCTCTTGTGGCAACGATGGGCACTGCCACCCGGCCACTGGGCACTGCAGCTGTGCCCCTGGCTGGACTGGCCTGAATTGTCAGAGAGGTACGGAGACCATGCCTGTGCTCCCAGTTGTCCCTCCGCTTCCTGCTCCTGGGTCCCCACCTGGCTGCAGAGCCTGTGGACTCCACCGGGCCTGCGCAGGGCAATCTTGGGCTCTGTTGCAGCCTGTGACAGTGGACACTGGGGGCCCGACTGCGGCTACCCCTGCAACTGCACCGCAGGCCACGGGAGCTGTGATGCCATCAGTGGCCTGTGCCTGTGTGAGGCTGGCTACGTGGGCCCACAGTGCGAGCAGCGTGAGTCCTGGGGATCCTGGCCCTGCCCCGGGGTGTGCACGGGTGTGCGGTGCACGGGCACGCTGTGGAGGGGCACACATTTGCATGTGCACACAGTGCCTGCCTGCCTGCCCCCACCGAGCATGCCCAGCCCCACCGGCCCAGGTCAGGCAGAAGACCCAAGCAGGGCCTATCCCACCTGCACAGGACACCTGGCACCTGGGCGGTGGCGCTTGGTGCTATGTGTGTGTTTCCCAGGTGGGAAGGCCCAGGGAGCTGGGTGGGTTGTCCTAGGGGCGGCCCAGGTCTGAGGTGACGTCTGGGTATCTCACCACCCCTGCGGGGGGGGGGGGGGCGGGGGAGGAACCACGTGAGGGAGACTGTCGGGAGGGCTTCCCTGGGGAACTGGCCCTGCTGTCAGTTCTGGGGGCCTGGTCAGGCCCTTGGCCCCTTGGCTGACAGTGGGCTGGGGCTGGGTGTCTCAGGGTGTCCCCAAGGATACTTTGGACCAGGCTGTGGGCACCAGTGCCAGTGTGAGCATGGGGCAGCCTGTGACCACGTCAGCGGGGCCTGCACCTGCCCAGCAGGCTGGAGGGGAAGCTTCTGTGAGCGAGGTGAGCTGGGCTCTGGCTGCTGGCCCAAGGAGTCTCCAGGGCAGGGCAGGGCGTGTCCCCTGACCTCTGGGCCCGCACCACCCTGCCTCTGTCTGCAGCCTGCCCAGCTGGCTTCTTTGGGTTGGACTGCCGTGGCGCCTGCAACTGCTCCGCGGGGGCCGCCTGCGACAACGTGAAAGGCTCCTGTCTCTGCCCGCCAGGCCGCCAGGGACCCCGCTGCACCCAGAGTGCGTGAGGCCCCGCGCAGCCTGCAGGAGGGCCCGGGACCTCCACAGAAGGCTCACCGGGTCCCCACCCTGGGTATTCCCTGCAGGCAGGCAGTCACTCGCTCATGAGGACCCAGTCTGAGAGGGAGTCTCAGGCCAGAGGGAGGGGGGGTTACCAGACCTGCCCAGTGCCTGAGCCTCCTGCTGACGCCCTCTGGTGGCCCTCCTCAGCCCTGACCGCCCCTCTCCCTGGCAGCTTGCCCAGCCCTCACCTACGGCCTTAACTGCAGCCAGGCCTGCACCTGCTTTAATGGGGCCTCCTGTGACCCCGTCCACGGGCAGTGCCACTGTGCCCCCGGCTGGATGGGGCCCACCTGCCTGCAGGGTAAGCCCTGCCCAGGAGTCCAGTCTCTGGTCAAGCCCTAAGGGCTCTCGGTGTGGGGTGCTGGCATCCAGGGAGGGGTGGGCCTGTTCACTCCCAGAAGCCCCTGGCCCCTGTGGGAGAGAATAAGGGGGTTGCTTCAGTGTTGTGCCCCCAAGACTGGGGGGGTCCTGACTGGGCCTGGGGTCAGTCGAGGTCCCCACCCCGGTCTGTTTTGGGCTTGTGAGGGTGCCAGGAGCCTGCAGAGCCGGGGTGCTGCTAGCTGGACTGTAGACTGCTCCCTCTCCCCAACACCAGCCTGTCCCGCTGGCCAGTATGGCCAGGGCTGCCGACAAGCCTGCCTTTGCCAGAACGGAGGGAGCTGTGACCCTGTCTCAGGCCGCTGCACGTGCGCAGAGGGCTGGTCCGGCCTGGCCTGTGAGAATGGTAAGCTTGGGTGGCCAGGAGGACTCCCAGGCCAGAGGGCAGCATCCTGGGGGTGGTCTTGGGCGCCTCTCCTGAGGTTGGTCCCCAAGGAGGTAGGAGCCTGGTCTTGGACATACCCCTGCCCCAGGGGGCCGCGACCCTCATCCTCGCCCCACTGCTGCAGAATGCCTCCCCGGACACTACGGAGCTGGCTGTCAGCTCAGCTGCGGCTGCCTCAATGGAGGCCTCTGTGACAGGCACACGGGCCGCTGCCTCTGCCCTGCTGGCTGGACTGGGGACAAGTGCCAGAGATGTGAGTGGGGCAGGAAGCCGGGAGCCCTGCTGGAGTGCCAAGGGTCCTGTCGGCCTCACCCAGACGAGGACGCAGAGTGGTCCTCACCATGGAGGTTGGGGGGCTGCTGTCTGAGCTACAAGGCCCCGAGGGGGGTCTGGACCTGGGGGCCCAGGCTGGGGCTGGGGAGCCTCACTTTGCCCTGGGCTGGGGTGGGCCTGCTTGACCTGTGCTCTCAGCTGGTCCAATAACTTCTCCCCGCTGCCTTGGGCCCTGTGGCCGAGCCTGGGCTCCTGAATCCCTGTCCACCCTTCTCTCATGGGCAGAGGGCACACAGGGCTCCGCCTCCCATCTGTCTCCTTGCCCACAGCTTGTGCTGAGGGCACCTTCGGGGCTCACTGTGAGGAGCGCTGCATCTGTCGTCGGGGAGCCTGCCACCATGTCACGGGGGCCTGCCGCTGCCCCCCAGGATGGAGGGGCTCACGGTGTGAGGATGGTAGGTGCAGCCCCCAGTGTGGCCGGCTCAAGGGGCCCCTGGCTATGGAGGGACGGTCCTGCCCAGGGTGGCTGTCTGCAGCCCAGTCTGGCCCCAGGGCTCCCCGCCGTGCCCTTGACGGGAGCCTTCCCAGCCCACGCCCTTCCCGCAGCCTGCCCACACGGCTGGTTCGGAGAGGCCTGTGTCCAGAGCTGCCGCTGCCCACCTGGGGCCTCCTGCCACCACGTCACTGGGGAGTGTCACTGTCCTCCTGGCTTCACCGGGCCTGGCTGTGAGCAGGGTAGGTGCTGCCCAGCTTGGGGCACCCCTGGACAGGCTGCCCATTCCTGAGGCTGGCCAGGACTGACCCCACCCCACCCCACTCACCCAGCCTGCTGGCCCGGCACTTTTGGAGAGGACTGTAGGCACCTGTGCCAGTGTCCTGGCAAGACCCAGGCCTGCCACCCTGCCACAGGGGCCTGCGTGTGCATGGCCGGCTACCACGGCACTGGCTGCCAGAAACGTGAGTCCTGCTCATGTCCCCTGAGGCCTGGTGGCTGCCCGCCCTGGACAGCCTCTGCCTGAGGGGGTTGGAGGGGGCATGTGGGGCTGCCATGCTCAGCTCAGGGCTGCTGGGGGTCAGCCTCCAGCTCCCAGCCCCTGGCAGTGGCTCCTGTCCCTACAGGATGCCCGCCTGGGCGCTACGGTCCAGGCTGTGGACAGGTGTGTGGGTGTCGGAATGGGGGCTCCTGTGACGCAGCCACAGGGGCCTGCCACTGTCCTGCCGGGTTCCTCGGAGCTGACTGCAGTCTGAGTGAGTGGCCAGCTACAGGCCTGGGGCTCTCCCTGCATGTCTGGGGAGCAATGCCCTGCCAGCCAGCCCGCAGGAGGACCGCCTCCCAGGCACCACCCTGACCACCTCTCTGACCCGCTCTTGCTGGTCCAGCTGAGCTAACCTGTGTGGCAGAGAGGCCAGCAACCCTCTCTGTAGGACATCAGTGGGATCCTACTGTCCCCAGCTGCAGCTGTGGTCACTGGTGCTGCCAAGGAGGGGCCTTTCTCCTGAGTCGTGGAGACTCTCCCTGTCTGGGGCCGGGGGGGCTGAGGTGGGAGGGTTGGCGTGAGTCACCGCAGAGCCCAGCCCCCCGCAGAGCCTGCTGGTGACAGGGAGAGAAGGGCAGTCCCCGGGCAGGGCCCGGCTGGGCTCTGCCAACTCACCTGCCCCCTCCCTGGCAGCCTGTCCACCAGGTCACTTTGGCCTCAGCTGTGCCCATGTGTGTGCATGCGGGCAGGGGGCCACCTGTGACCCTGTGATCGGCACTTGCATCTGCCCACCGGGGAGGACTGGCACCCACTGTGAGCATGGTGAGTGTCCATGGGGGTGGCACAGGGGCACTACACCAACGTCCCTCCATTAGCCATGGGAGGTCAGTGAGGTGAACTCAGACTACTGTGCCTGAGGGACTGTCCTCCTGCCCTCTCCCAGCCTGTCCCCAAAGCCACCATGGGCTCCCAAAAGGACCCTGTGGGCAGAGGGCAGCACCCTTACTGTATGGCCAGTACTGCCCTGCTGGGTGGACAGGGCCCCATCCCACCCCAGCCCCTACCTCCCCCTACTGGCTAGAGGCTCAGGCCACCTAGTGATTTGGCAGTGTCCCTGTGGCCAGTGGGGGCTTCAGGTCTGGCCAGAGCCCCTCCTGGAAGCAGAGTGCTGGCTGCTTTCTGTCTGAGGGGGAGCCGGCCCCGGCCATGTCTCTAGGCCCAGGCGCAGGGCTCCCGGGGGAGGCAGCCGAGCACAGGCCAGTGAGACAGGGAAAAGGGGGACAGTGCGGTGGCTTGTGTTCTCTGCTATGTGCCCAGTCCCCAGGCCTGGCTCCCCTTAGTCCTCATTGAGGGGGCCTCCCCACCCCAACTCCTCAGCCTCAGGGCTCCCTGGGATCCTGTGCCGCCAGAGGTCAGAACCCAGGGACCAGCTTCCACCAGGAGGGGGCCTGGCCCTGCTTCTCCTCCAGGCCGGGCACCAGCCCCCCTCGGCTGCATTCTGCTCTGAACAGGAGGGCCACAGGGAGCGTCCCTTCCCAGGCCTGGAGGGTGTGCCCTGGCTCCCAGGCTGGCCGCGGCTGTGTGGAGAGGCCACCACCTCCAGGACGTCTTCCTGACCCGCCCACTGCCTGGGAGGTGCTCGCAGCCTCTGGAGGGCGTGGCCCCTTGCTTACTGTCCCTTCAGCCCTCAGCCAGGCCTGGTGTCTGCTGTCCCTCTGGCACCACGTGCCTGGCGAGTGAGGCTGGCACAGGACATCCCAGGAAGCCTCCACTGAAGGAATGGGAGCCTGTGCAGGGCGTGGCCTGAGCAGTCCAGCCTGGCCAGCGCTCTGGGCAGCACCTGTCTTCTGCCCGCAGGCTGCCCGCAGAACCGGTTTGGCGCGGGCTGTGAGCTCCAGTGTGACTGCAGACACGGAGCCCTGTGCCACAGCACCCATGGCAGCTGCTCCTGCCGCCCGGGCTGGATGGGGCCACACTGCGAGCAGGGTGAGTGAGGGGGCCAGAGGGGTCCCCAAGAGCAGTGGGCAGGAGGAAGGATCAGCTAAGGGCAGGGGAGTGGCCCTGTGTGCCCCTGAGGGAACAGGGCTTGAGGGCCCTGGTTGGGGGGCCGGGGCTGACGTAGGGCTGGCTGAGGTGCTGGTCCCGAGTCTGTGCCTGAGAGGCTGTCCTCCTGCCCTCTCCCAGCCTGTCCCCCTGGGCGCTATGGTGCCGCCTGCCTCTTGGAGTGCGCCTGTCAGAACAACGGCACCTGTGAGCCCGCCTCGGGCGCCTGCCGCTGTGGCCCTGGCTTCTACGGTCAGGCCTGCGAGCACCGTGAGTCATGGGCTGGGGCCTCTGCCGGCTGGGCTGTGGCCAGTGGCTGGCCTTTGCTTTACGACAGCGAGATGTCATTGCTCGTGGGGTCCCGGAGTCAAGCCTGACCTGACTCGTGACTCAGGCTCTCATGTCAGAGGTGGCTCCTTGGGGTCACTCAGGGAGCAGGGTCTGGGCTGCCACCCAGTTGGACACCCCAGCTGTCCGGTGTGAGCCCTGCCAGGCTGTCAGACTGAGGTGGGGACCTAGGGCGTGGGGCGTGAGGCTGCAGGGGAGGGACTTCTCTCTGGCCCAAGTCCTCGGTCCCTGCTCTCTCTGGGCCACTGGGAGCTTTCTGCTGCCCCGGCCTCTGGCTCCCTGTAACCGGGGTCCCCCCTCAGCCTGTCCCCCCGGATTCCATGGAGCTGGGTGCCAGGAGGACTGTGAGTGTCAACAGGGAGCCTCCTGTGACCCCGTCAGCGGCCAGTGCTTCTGCCCAGCCGGCTTCCAGGGCCGGTTCTGTGAGAGGGGTGAGTGCCATGTGCCCCACAGGCTCCCCATGCAGCCCCTCAACCCTGTCCCTGTCCAGTCTGGGTGCAGGACAAGAGGGGATGCTGAGCCTGCTGTCCCCTCCAGGGTGTGAGCCAGGCTCCTTTGGAGAAGGCTGCCACCAACGGTGTGGCTGCAGTGGGGGTGCGCCCTGTGACCCCGTCAGCGGCCTCTGCCTGTGCCCACCAGGGCGCTCGGGAGCCACGTGTGACCTGGGTGAGTGGGGGTCTTGCCGGAGGGTTGTGGAGTGGGTCTCCATATTGACTGTGGATTGAGCGCCACCTGTGCCACCTGACTGACGTGCCCTCCTGCGACCTCTGGGCCCCAGAGCTGGAGCTGTAGAGGTCCTGCCCTGCCCCGCGGCTGCCAGAGTCCCAGGCCCCTCTCCTGGGGCCGGGACATTTGATCATGGGAGGAAGCCCCTGATAGGTGGAAGGTGGTCCCTATCTGCTGGCTGGGGGTGGGGGCATTGAGAGGGTGGGAGGGCCACCCAAGGGTGGGGGCTGCCCTACTGGGGCCGCACAGTGGACTGACTGGAGGGTTCCCGGGCCTGATGAGCCTTGGGGGAGCCGCCTCGGCCACAGGTCCCCCTCTGCCCACCCGGAGCCTGGGCGGGAACATGGGTAGTGATTCTGCGAAGGCACCCATCCCATGCAGGAGCCCTCCGATGCAGCACACTGCCCTGCTCACAGGGGACGCTGAGGCCCTCACTCGCCCAGCTCTCTGCCCACAGCCCGGCAGACAGGGACCTGCTCAGGCCTCTCCCCTCCCCCCTTGCATTTAGATTGCAAACAGGGCCGCTTTGGACCCGGCTGTGCCCTGCACTGTGAGTGTTCAGCGGGGGCTGACTGTGACCCGGTCAGTGGGCAGTGCCACTGCGTGGATGGCTACATGGGGCCCACGTGCCGGGAAGGTGAGTTGTGCTCTTGGGGAGGGAGGGGAAGACACTGGGCCCCCACCCTGGCTGAGGACCTGTCCCTTGCCTTGATATCACTGAGTGGGTGCAGCCAGCCAGAGAGACCACAGCCATCCCTGCGCAGTACCCAGAGTGTCCACGCGGCTCCTGACAGGCCAGGTGTGAGCCTCATAGCCACTTAACCATGGGGCAGGGTGGGCACTGCCAGCCAGCAGCCCCACCTTCCCGAGCCCAGCAGCTTCGAGGGCCAGCCCAAACGCAGTGGGAGCCCAGACAGCCCACCCTACAGGCCGGGCTGGGCGAGGCAGTGCAGGCGGGCAGAGCTTGGGGTGCCCACACCCCCTGGCTGGCCCAGGTTGGCTCCCCGGGCCTGGGATGCTGCAGGTGTTGGGCAGAGTCTCTGCAGAGGGCAGGAGGACAGAGGCGAGGCGCCCACCCCAGGGCTCTGGTATGGTGGAGCAGGGATCCCAGCTGGAGACCCCTGACATGAGTGCTTCTTGAACCTCTCCAAGATGATCCTGGCCTCGGATCCTAAGAGCTGTGAAGGGAGGGAGGCATGGAGGAGGGAGCCCGGCTCCACAGTGGGGAGGCTCCTGGGGACCAGGCAGCCACTTGCCTGCTGGTGCTTGCACACAACGCTGTCCGCAGCGGCACCCAGTGGCCAGGTGTCGCGGTGCACCCTGGGGCACCCTAGCCCAGACACTGAGCCTGAGGTCTCTGAAGCCGGGCCCCTCTGGGCAGGGCCTCTTTGGCCTATGGAGTCTGGGCCCTGTTCACTGTCCTGGAGTGGGCTTGGCTTAGCTCTGGGGGAAGTCCCTCCCCATCCAGCCCTGCCTCTCATGCCTTCCGGAAAGGAAAGGCTGGGAGCGTGCGTTGGGAGGAGTCGGGCTTGGGCCGGAGTGAGATGGAGCAGGAGGCCGTGCCTGGGGAGGGGGTCCCTGCAGGCAGGGGTGGGTGAGGCCTCACAGCCCCAGTACAGTGACATCCAAGAATGAGGGCACCATGTGAACTGCTGTGTGTCCCCTCACAGGTGGGCCCTCCCAGTTCCTCGAGAGCCTGTCCCCAGCACAGGGCGCAGGTAAGGGGTGGGGAATGCCCCATGGGCTTTCCAGGAGGGAGTGTTGTGGCTAAGTCCAAAGGTCCAGGCTTGGCAGTAGACATCTCTGCTGCCCGGACCTCAGAATCTAGACCTGATGTGGAGCTGGGGAGGAGGGTGGGCTGCGACGGGCCAGCCAGGACCTGGCTGTTTCAAGAGCTGCCACCCCCGGGACTGACCCTCCTTTCTTCTCATGCCCCAGCGGCCACACGGCCAGTCTCCAGCGGACAGGTACCCAGCTCTGCAGGCACTAGCTGAGGCAGCCCCTGCCATGGAGGCTCTGCCACAAAGCTCCAGCTGAGGGACCCAGGCCTTGGTGATGCAAGAGAACACACGTGGACTAGGACTCCTGCCTCTCTCCAGAGGGCTGTGGACAGCTGTGGGTCTCAGGGGAGGGCTGTAGACAGCTGCCCAGCCGCTCCATCAGCCAGGGCCCTGTGGCTGCGAGGAGGGAGGCCTCATGTGGCCACAAGTAGCCCAGGGGAGTGGACCGGACCTCAGGCTGCATCGTCCACATCAGGCACCTGGCTAGCTGGGCTGAGGACGCCCTGACCCTCCCCGCAGCCTGGGTTGGGACCAGGGCAGCTGTGGGTGTGGGCCTCTGCCCTCCGAGCAGGCCCTCCTGGTGCTAGGCCCTGGACTGCTGCAGCCTGGCCGACTGACTCTTTACTTGCAGATGTGGTCTGGCCAGTTTATGTATAGGTATTTATGGGCAGTGCCACACGCCCCGCTGCCCGTCCCAGGAAGCCTGGACTCAGGCTGGCAGGGCCCTGGGGTCCCCAGCAGATGTGCTCAGGTTCCATGTAAAGCCCAGCGAGTTAAATTAATGTGGGCTTCTGTGGCCTGTGTCTTTGCTGCTTTCCATCGGCTCTAATGGACTCTCGTGGGCTCTGATGGGCTCTCGTGGGCTCTGATGGGCTCAGATGGGTTCTGATGGGCTCTGATGGGCTCTCGTGGGCTCTGGTGGGCTCTGATGGGCTCTCGTGGGCTCTGATGGGCTCTCGTGGGCTCTGATGGGCTCTGATGGGCTCAGATGGGTTCTGATGGGCTCTGATGGGCTCTCGTGGGCTCTGGTGGGCTCTGATGGGCTCTGATGGGCTCTTGTGGGCTCTGATGGGCTCTCGTGGGCTCTGATGGGCTCTGATGGGCTCTTGTGGGCTCTGATGGGCTCTCGTGGGCTCTGATGGGCTCTCGTGGGCTCTGATGGGCTCTGATGGGCTCTCGTGGGCTCTGATGGGCTCTTGTGGGCTCTGATGGGCTCTGATGGGCTCTTGTGGGCTCTGATGGGCTCTCGTGGGCTCTCGTGGGCTCTTGTGGGCTCTGATGGGCTCTCGTGGGCTCTGGTGGGCTCTGATGGGCTCTTGTGGGCTCTGATGGGCTCTCGTGGGCTCTGATGGGCTCTCGTGGACTCTGATGGGCTCTCGTGGGCTCTGATGGGCTCTGATGGGCTCTTGTGGGCTCTGATGGGCTCTCGTGGGCTCTCGTGGGCTCTTGTGGGCTCTGATGGGCTCTCGTGGGCTCTGGTGGGCTCTGATGGGCTCTTGTGGGCTCTGATGGGCTCTTGTGGGCTCTGATGGGCTCTCGTGGGCTCTGATGGGCTCTCGTGGGCTCTGATGGGCTCTGATGGGCTCTTGTGGGCTCTGATGGGCTCTTGTGGGCTCTGATGGGCTCTCGTGGGCTCTGATGGGCTCTCGTGGGCTCTGATGGGCTCTGATGGGCTCTCGTGGGCTCTGATGGGCTCTTGTGGGCTCTGATGGGCTCTGATGGGCTCTTGTGGGCTCTGATGGGCTCTCGTGGGCTCTTGTGGGCTCTGATGGGCTCTCGTGGGCTCTGGTGGGCTCTGATGGGCTCTTGTGGGCTCTGATGGGCTCTCGTGGGCTCTGATGGGCTCTCGTGGACTCTGATGGGCTCTCGTGGGCTCTGATGGGCTCTGATGGGCTCTTGTGGGCTCTGATGGGCTCTCGTGGGCTCTCGTGGGCTCTCGTGGGCTCTTGTGGGCTCTGATGGGCTCTCGTGGGCTCTGGTGGGCTCTGATGGGCTCTGATGGGCTCTCGTGGGCTCTGATGGGCTCTTGTGGGCTCTGATGGGCTCTTGTGGGCTCTGATGGGCTCTCGTGGGCTCTGATGGGCTCTGATGGGCTCTCTCTGATGGGCTCTCGTGGGCTCTGATGGGAGTGTTCATTGGCAACCCTCTAATGGTGGTCCTAGGAAAAGGGGAAGCTGTCGGCATAAAGCCACCCACAGGAAGTTCTCAGCCCGAAGGGTGAATGTTCCCAAAGGGAAGGCAAAAAAGAAACCCCTGAGTCTAACAAATCCAAGGCCACCAGGGGCAAAGAGAAACTCTAAGGTGCCTGGAGAAGAAAGGCCAGTGGGAACCAGGCCCGCGGTGGACTCTGTAAGAGGAACACGAAGGCTGCAAACAGCGTTGTTCTGTAACTTCAAGAGGCGAGGAATTCTGAAACCTGAGTGTTTATGTCCAGCTAAACTGTCAAGATCCATGAAGTCACCCATAAAAGCCTGATTTGAAAACGCTCACTGGGAAATTTCAACAAGAGGGCGAGGATCCCAGGAGGGGGTTATTCTTCACGTTCCCACGTGCCCTAGTGATTAAGAGAACCGGAAGAGTCCTGTTAATCCACAAGGACCCCTGGAGTCTGTCACCACGGGGCGAGAGTGTAGACAGGGACAGATGGAGGGGGAGTGTCACCGTCCTGGCTGGTGAAACCCAGTGATCAGCCACAGGAAGTGAGGGGCAGAGCCTGGGGTCAGCTGGCCTGAGGATGCTGGTGGAACGCCTCACCTCACACCCTCCAGAGAAGCAGGACCATCCAGTGGGAGGAAGGAAGGGACAGTAGAGCCTAAGAAGGAAACACAGGGTGCACGTGGTGATAAGGAGGACCCAAACAGGTGCCCTGAACTGTCAACAGATCCTGAGTAGTGGGCCAGGTGTCGTGGTGCGGACCTGTAATCCCAGCGACTCAGGAGGCTGAGGCAGGAGGATCACAAGCTCAAAGCCAATCTCAGCAATTTAGTGAGACCCTAAGCAACTTAGCGAGGCTCTGTCTCAAAAAATAAAAAGGGGCTGGGGATGTGGCTCAGGGAGTAAGCACCCCTGGGTTCAATCTTCAGTACCTGCCCCCCACCAAAAAAAAAAAGACCCTACTAATGGACTAATGAGAGGAGAAAAAGGACCCAACTAATCCACTTTAAAAGTCATGCCGAGGAAGGCTGGGTAGGAGTTTTAGTATTTCAAGGTGACAAGACTGTCTATACACACACACACACACACACACACATGAGAGGTTCAGAATTCACAGAGCAATGGTGGGTAAAACAGGAAGAAATAAATCATCTTACCTGGTGGTTTTACTGTGCTCTTTACAAAAACCAAGAGTTTAGGCAAATCAGACGGCGAGGGTCGAACCTGAGTAAGCTAAGTGCGTCCCCAGGTGCGTTTTATTCATGTGTCACACACATTCACACTCACTCCTGTGAACCTTGTACTCAGCATGGATTGAAGTGGAACATTTAAGAAAACCAAACTTTCCTTCTTTGAAGACTAATAAGAAAAAAAAGCGTAGAAGACTGATGATTTTGAACATGAAAAAAGAAAAACAATACAGAAGAAGAAGGGAGAATAAACCCACCTGTGGTAGAGAGTGAAACATAAAAAAAGATCAAGAGTCTTTAAAACAGGAAAGGGGCAAACAGGAGAACCAGCAGGGCCACACCAGCCCCAGAGTGAACGCAAGTGGCCAGGAAGGTCCACACCCTCGCTCTGGCCCCGGTCGTGCCTGATACAGATGCTGGCACGGGGGGCCAGGCTCTGAAGACACCGTGGACTTGTCTAATGTGACTTGTTCCGGGGACTTTAAATAGAGGAAAAGTGGCTTCCCTGGCCTGGGGTGGATACTGATGGCTAAAACCAGGTCAGCATGAAATAGGGAAACGAACTCCCAAGTGAGCATGAGCTACCCAAATAACAGGGTTCAGAACTAACGTCTGGGCTGGCAGGCGTGGCTCAGTGCAGAGCGCTGGCCCAGGCTGCGTGAGGCCCAGGGCTCCGTCCTCGGCACCATCAAACAAACAAAAACAGCTAATGTCCTCCTGGTCTGCCGCAGACCAGCTGCAGCAAAATAACTGGGGGGTGACGAACAACTTGTGTACATTGATACAGCAGGAGTGGGAGCCGTTTACTGTAGGACAGGAGGGGTATATATACATTCCACACAGCTTATCTTAATTAACATAAACTAGATACAGCAGCGTGAGGCCCAGGGCTCCGTCCTCGGCACCATCAAACAAACAAACAAAAACAGCTAATGTCCTCCTGGTCTAATGGAAGAGCACCGGCAAGGGGAGAAGTCAGGCCGGAGGCGTTCGGATGCCAGCTCTCGGGAAACCGGGTATAGAAGGGGCATTGACGGTGGTGGCCAAGTACCAGGGTCATGGTTAGTGGAGCCACAAATGAATCTGGGTCTGTCCACTTCCTGCCACCCAAGGGCCTCCCACACCTACCGCGTGACCACCACGGCTTCTGCTCAGCTACCACCTCCCACCTTCCCCACTAGAACGCGGGGTCTGGGGAGGCAGGGGCTTGCCAGCTCCCTGCTGGACACCCTGGAGCTGGACCAAGAGTTGGAAAACAGTGCCTGCAGCCTCCAGAGCTCAGAGGCCCCGACAGTGCTGTCCGGTGAGCACTAGGTGCCAGGGTCTGCCGTGAGACAAACTTGCTGTGATTTTCAGGGGGTTGGATTATCTAGAAAAGCACCAGCCAAGGGCTGCAGTTAATGATTCACCAAGGTTGGCAATAAAGCCATGTGTCATATAAATTATAAAGCCTACAGAAGTCACCAGCCCTTCAACATTAGCCATAGCCAAATAGGAAGCAGTTTGAGACACTATCGCCATGGCAACAAACCCACATGTACGTGGGCACGAGTCTGGCACAAGGATTTCTACTCTGAGTTTTTAAAGACCTAAACAGAAGCATATATATATATATAAACAAGGGACAACTGTGATGTGACAGAGGGGACCTCCCAGTCCTTGCACCTGACATTCCAATCTGTTGAATCAAAGGCCCGGCAGTGGAGTGCACATGGCTCTGGGGAAGCCTCTGCCATGTCTAAAGTGGTCCAGGTCTGATGTCGAGTGGGTTGGCAGGCAGAGAGGAGGACATGAGCAGGGTTCACGGACATGACAGCAGTGTGTGGGGTGGGACAGTCTTGCTACCACCAGACCTCTGCTGGGGCTGGTGTCCCAGGGTCCGGCCAGCAATACCTCTGTTAGCCAGCAGGGGCGCCCAAGGGTACACTGTGTGGCTGGCAAGAGAGGGAGGGGCTGGAACCAGTGAGCCAGAGGTGCAGAGCAGCACCGGGGGGTCCCACAGTGGGGCCAAGACGGGCAGGCCTCCTCCACGGGAGCCAGGCCCACAAGGGCACACAGGGCGGGGCACCCTGGGGCCTGGGAGGGGTCCTCACTGGCTGGGCTGGACACTGATGTTTGCTGAGATGGACCACAGCCCTTGTCCCCACTCCCTGCAGACGCAGGGCCCATGTGGCCCCAGGCTGGCACACCAGGCACTGCCTGGTCCCACTCCGCCCGTCCTGAGCACAGGTCTTGCTGGAGATGGCTGGTGTCATTAAAAGCCTTGAGGGTCCTCTGTAAGCCCAGTGACCCCAGGAGTGGGTAGAGAGATTTGGGGTCTCCGTTTCCCCGAGTGCAGTGGGGATTCTATGCAGGCAAGGGCCTCCCTGCGTCACGCGTCTGGACAGGAGGAAGGGTGGCTAGGCAGCCCTGCCCTGGGTGCCAGCTGCCCCCCGGCCAGGTGGTGTGGCAG